TTTGATACTTTCCACGGCCCTGGGTGGGAGAATGCCGCTCCTGTCCCGCCTCCTTCCGGGCTTCTCAGAAGCTCCCAGCCGAGGTCAGCTGCCGTATTGGAAGGCCAGGAATTCAACTACTCGAGTCTAGGTCAGCAGCTGTATTGGAAAGCCAGCAATTCAACTACCATGTGAAAATCTCGTTCTTAAGTTTTGTCTGTATGATAAAGCACCTCGTACGATGCTCGGTACATGGCATGTCCTCGACAAACGTTGGTTCCCTTTTCCATAATTGATACTTCCAAACTCAACTTTCCACCCAGACAGGCCTCCCTGCCCGACACACACACACACACACACACACACACACACACCACACACACACACACACACACACACACACACGGTCCATGGCCAGCTGTACCTGCTGGCAAGTGTGGTGAGGTGAATGGGGATCACCTGCATGGGGGCGGGGTTGTGTTAAGTGGCACAAATATGTCAGAGGATGCTTTGGCCCTGGCTTTCAAATTGTAAAAATCTCAAGCACGCATTCTCTTCCAGCCTAGCAGTTCCACCTCGATCCCTCCACACGTGTACAAGGAGGCCTGTGGCCCCCTCGTTAAAATAGCAAGACAGTTGTCACTCATAAGAACTCTTCTAGTAGCCTGGGGTCTATGCAGACTGGAATGAATACTAAGCTGCAATTGAATAAGCCAGTTGCGGGCGAGTGCTTAGAATATGTTTTGTATAAGTATTCTAAGTATAAAGCAATACCAAATTTTAAGTATACTTCAGGTATCTAGCTGCATATGTGTGTGCTCATAGGAGAAGGACTGAAAAGACACACTCACACCAATGGTGCTTTTCTCTTGGAGAGGAGGACCGGATCAGGACAGGACGGGTGCCCACACAGGACTTGGGTGGTGTTTCCATAGTATTTATTCATATATGTTGGGGTAGCTGAAAATTTTAAAAAAGCAGACAGATTTTTCTGAAAACTTGAAGAGAATCCAGGAAGATTCCTCAAGATTTTTCAGAACTTTTAATTGGTGCCTGGTTCATGTTTTACTCAATTAAGTTTTGTGTTACTTAGATTTATCATTTTTCTTAAAAGTAAACTTTGTGAAAATCTTCTTAGTGGATTGGCATTTATTTTTCTTTCATAATACATAGTCGCCAACTTCATTATGTTGTTACTTTTTTCCTGTTCTGCTTCTTAGCAAGCTAGGAGCCCAGGCCAGTAAATGCACCAAATCCAGTCCTTCTTCCTCTCTAACAGCCAGGAGTGGGGCTGGGAGCGCCCTCGTGGACTGTCATTTACCTGTCACCTGGTTTCCCACCGTCCCTGCCTGGACTTCGCATGCATCTCATTCTGGGCCCATGTTCAAAATTCTGTGCAGTAGCTGTTGGGTCGCGTTGCCCTGGCAGATCTGTGGGTGATAGCCTGAGTTTCCCCTTCCCTCCTCCTCCCAACAGAAGCTGAATGTTACTAACACCTGGCTGTTCCTTGATAATACATAGAAAGGAAAATTGGAGGAGAAGGGAACAATGCTGAAACACAGGGCTGGGGCTCTGGAGCAGGGCTTCTCAGCCCAGCACTAGTAACATTTTGGCCAAGATAGCCATTTGTGGGGAGCCGTCCTGTGCGTTGTAGTGTACTTAGCAGCATCCCTGGCCTCCACCCACTACAAGCTGGCAGCAGCTCTCAATTACAACAACCAAAAATGTCTGCAGATCTTACCAGATGTCCCTTTGGTAGCAAAAGAGCCCCCAGATGAGAACTATTGCTCCAGACGAACTGGCAACAAAGCAGTTGTTCTAAACTACCTGCTTGAATTCTCTGTACTTCAGATATCTATGTCCTGCTTACCAATGACAGGTAACAGTGGTTCCCTTAGAGCAAAGGGGATTTTGTCTCGATGGTATTCCAAGAATCTTTACTCTCCCTCTGCTATTTCTGTGCAGCTCTGCCAGACAATCCAAACGTGGCCAGGCGTGGTGGCTCACACTTGGAATCCCAACACTTTGGGAGGCCATGACAGGAGGATCATTTGAGCCCAGGAGTTTGAAACCAGCCTGGGCAATGTAGCAAGACCCTGTCTCTACAAAAAAGAATAGAAAATCCAAAGGCCAGGGCCCTGACACTGGCCTGGTTAAGATACTGGGTCGTGGTCATGTCACCACAAGCCTCCTCAAGGAAGATACGCTTTGCTAGTTGATTCCTCCTGTAACTGGATGTGAAGAGGGAGGTGGCAGCAGTGGGTGGACAGGAAAGGGCATCTTAGCCAGTGGCATTTTGAAACATTTGCAGCATTTTTTTTTTTTTAACATTTATTGGTTTTTCCCAAGAGAAAATCATCTCTAGAGACCTACTGGTGACAGCAGAGAGATCAGAGTTAGTGGATGACTCAGTTTCCTTCTGGAAAATGTAGGAGGTCCTGAAACCACAAGCTCTTGTGTGTAACGTGGGCTGGAGCGTCCCTTTGGGGGCAGCGGTGTTCTCTAAGTCTACCCAGCCCCTCCCTGCCTGCTGTCTCCTGACTGTTGGGTTTTTCTTACGTCTGGTTCCCTTAAGCTCTGGAAAGGGACTGTCTGGTTTGAGTCTGGGGTTAAATCCTTGGGCAGCCCACTCAAAAGCAGAAGGGGGCTCCTTCCAGGGTTACGTGGTGGGGGTGCCTGCGATGCCACTGTGGGGTCTCGCACATTGTAAGTACCCAGTTTAAACTCTGTCACTGTGCCACATCATGGAGCAACCCCTGATCCGTGGCCTTCCAGGCCCTTTCTAAGTGGTACAGCCTTTCTACCCCCACGTTTCTTGGAGGATCTCACAAACAGGTTGCTCATTTTCATGGCCGCCTCCTGCTTTGCTGAATTAGTGTGCCATCATTTATTCACACAGTGGCCCACACTCGGACGTTTACACTGCTCTTCCATTTTCCTAGCATAAGTACTGTTCAGGTAAACAGCCTCCATACATTCATCTCTGCACATGATGTGTCTGACTTCCTCAGTGGTACTGATTTGTTCAGACAGTTCTGTCCCTGGTCACAGTCTGCAGAAACAGCCTAAAACAACATATTAGCACATTTCTTCAGCTCCTCCTGTTTTGTGGTTAAAAAAAAAACCTGCAAATTGAGTCCTACAACTCTTTCCCCCTCTCCCCAAAGACAAATACCAGTTAAAAGTCAGTGCTTCAGAAAGATGCCTGCGTTCTTCCTGTGTACTTCGGGGATGCAGGGCCTCTGATGCCCTGACTTTGTGTGTCAGGACATTTAACCCAGCTGTTTAAGAAATAATAGACCACACTGTTTGTGTCGGTAAGCCCATCGGTTGGCCTTACTGGTATTAATTCATAGACCCACTTACGTTCGTTCGGGTGATGGGCAGTGCCAAGGATGGCTTTGGAGTGATTGGAACTGGGGTGCCCTGGGGACATAGTCACAATAGGAGGATCTGCCCAGCCCAGCTCCCTTCCGGTGCTAGGTCATGGAGGGCATGGCTGGGCTTCTTCTGAATCAGGGGCCACACCCAGTCTTGGGCCAGGCCTCCGTGGAAGGCAAAGAAGGGTGCACAAAGCACCGTCCTTTAACTGGTCCTGTAGAGGAGCCTTGTTCCAGTTATTCTGGGGAGGTGAGAAACAAAGCCTTTCGAATACCTTGCCTGTATTTTTTTTTTTTTTTTTTTTGAGATGGAGTCTCACTCTGTTGCCCAGGCTGGAGTGCAGTGGTGTGATCTTGGCTCACTGCAACCTCTGCCTCCCGGGTTCAAGCAGTTCTCTGCCTCAGCCTCCTGAGTAACTGGGATTACAGGCGCCTGCCACCAGGCCTGGCTAATTTTTGTATTTTTGGTAGAGATGGAGTTTTACCATCTTGGCCAGGCTGGTCTTAAACTCCTGACCTCATGACCCCCTGCCTCAGCCTCCCAAAGCGCTGGGATTACAGGCATGAGCCACCGTGCCTGGCCCTATTTTTTTTTTTTTTTCCATTTTTACTGTCTTATTTTCTATTTCTTCCTTTCTTTCTTTTATTTATTTATTTATTTATTTATTTATTTATTTATTTTTGAGATGGAGTTTTGTTCTTGTCGTCCAGGCTGGAGTGCAATGGCATAATCTCAGTTCACTGCAACCTCCACCTCCCAGGTTCGATGGCTTTTCCTACCTCAGCCTCCTGAGTAGCTGAGACTACGGGAGTGCACCACCATGCCTGGCTAGTTTTTGTATTTTTAGTAGAGACGGGGTTTCACCATGTTAGTCAGGCTGGTCTCGAACTCCTGACCTCAGGTGATCCTCCCGCCTTGGTCTCCCAAAGCGCTGGGATTACAGGTGTAAGCCACTGCCCCAGCTTTATTTTCTATTTCTCTAGTGGCGAAATAGAGAACAGGGAGAAGACGTAGCATGGTTTTCCCAAGAGATGGTACAGATAATAATGCCTGATATCCACATGGGGTCTGGAGGCGCAAGCCATCTTCCATTCATCCCACAGTCTCACAGCAGCCCTGGAAAGAGGCTGCTCGCTGTTGAAAGCCAGTGTTGGAAAGAGCTCGGGTGGAAAGTGTGGTCTGCGTGAGGGGCTCCTATGAATCGAGGAGAGGGGTGGCAGGTACGAGGCTTGTCACCATGTGACATCGCAGCTTCAGAAACTTAGCCACTGCCAAAAAAAGAGCAGGCAGGGATAATCTTGTCCATTGTCCAGTCAGAGAGACCTGTTGAGTCTCCAGTTTGCCACTGCCCAAGAGACCATTGGAGTTTTGCTGGAGCCAGACATCCTGCTCAGAGATTAGGAAAATCCTGCTGTTCCGTGGGGGAGCTCTTGGGGTAGCTGTGCCACCACCCACCTTCTCCTGATTGCCACTCGCTGCCCTTTTCCCATTACCCTCTCCTGACTCCATAAACGTCTTCAGTCTTCCCTTCTCCACCTCAAAAATGCCACCTGGAAGGGGTGATGGGAGGTTCTCTGGAGGAAAGGCATGGCAGCAGTGGACATTGTAATGAGAATGCCCGTGTGCCTCTTTACCAACAGAAAACTTGGAGTATAACGTGGAGCCTCAAGAAATCTCACACCCTGATGTGGGACGCTATTTCTCAGAGTTTACTGGCACTCACTACATCCCAAACGCAGAGCTGGAGATCCGGTATCCAGAAGATCTGGAGTTCGTCTATGAAACGGTGCAAAATATTTACAGTGCAAAGAAAGAGAACATAGATGAGTAAAGTCTAGAGAGGACATTGCACCTTTGCTGCTGCTGCTGCTATCTTCCAAGAGAACGGGACTCCGGAAGAAGACGCCTCCACGGAGCCCTAGGGACCTGCTGCACCAGGAAAGCCACTCCACCAGTAGTGCTGGTTGCCTCCTACTAAGTTTAAATACCGTGTGCTCTTCCCCAGCTGCAAAGACAATGTTGCTCTCCGCCTACACTAGTGAATTAATCTGAAAGGCACTGTGTCAGTGGCATGGCTTGTATGCTTGTCCTGTGGTGACAGTTTGTGACATTCTGTCTTCATGAGGTCTCACAGTCGACGCTCCTGTAATCATTCTTTGTATTCACTCCATTCCCCCGCCTGTCTGCATTTGTCTCAGAACATTTCCTTGGCTGGACAGATGGGGTTATGCATTTGCAATAATTTCCTTCTGATTTCTCTGTGGAACATGTTCGGTCCCGAGTGAGGACTGTGTGTCTTTTTACCCTGAATTTAGTTGCATATTCAGAGGTAAAGTTGTGTGCTATCTTGGCAGCATCTTAGAGATGGAGACATTAACAAGCTAATGGTAATTAGAATCATTTGAATTTATTTTTTTCTAATATGTGAAACACAGATTTCAAGTGTTTTATCTTTTTTTAAAATGTAAATGGGAATATAACACAGTTTTCCCTTCCATATTCCTCTCTTGAGTTTATGCACATCTCTATAAATCATTAGTTTTCTATTTTATTACATAAAATTCTTTGAGAAAATGCAAATAGTGAACTTTGTGAATGGATTTTTCCATACTCATCCACAATTCCTTTTAAATGACTACTTTTATTTTTTAATTTTAAAAATCTACTTCAATATCATGAGTAGGTCTTACATCAGTGATGGGTTCTTTTTGTAGTGAGACATACAAATCTGATGTTAAATGTTTGCTCTTAGAAGTCATACTCCATGGTCTCCAAAGACCAAAAAATGAGGTTTTGCTTTTGTAATCAGAAAAAAAAAAAAATCATGAACCTTAAAAAAAAAAAAAGGTTTTGAAGGGAAGAAAAGTGGTTCCACACCTCTTGCTATTCCTTAGAGTCACTTCAAGGCCTGTTTGAATGTGGCAGGTTAGAATGAGAGAGAATGTCTTTGATTTGAAGAGTGTTGGACTTGCGTGAAAGGAGATGTGCGTGTTGGAATCTGCTTCTCCAAGCTGCCAGGGTCCTGAAGGCAGCAGGATGAAGCCTGTTGTGGCGTCTTTTGGGAAAGCCTGACTGTGTGTTCAGACGGCACTGGCTCCTTTCCGAAGTTCTTAGTAACTGAGCCTAGAGTAACTGCACGCCTTCGTGCAGCTCCGGAGCTCCCCCAACTCTCGGCCTGCCGGTTCTCAAGTGAGCTAATCTCGTCATTCATCAGTGGAAGCTAACTTCTGAAGTTAGGACCTACTTACTTTGCTCTCAGCGTTTAAAATGATGCAGTTGCTCTAATGAATGGGGCATTAGGGGCCTGTCTGTGCACCTGTCTTTCCCTCTGCATGCAGTATTCTCACCCACGTTGAATGCCTGCTGCTTGTTTACCCTTTGGGAACCCTGGGGTGACTGAGGTTTGGAAAGCCACCTAAGACCACTTCATAGCAAGGGAAGGCTTTAAGCAGTTACTAGAAAGAGATGGGGATTTGGCCCCTGGCTCCTCCATCCTGAATTAGCTATTATCCACTGTCCACGTTCCTCATCAGTCAAATCCAAAGTCAAAGGATTTGAACCTGCATCTGAAAATGTGACCACTCGCAGCACCTGACCCGCCGAGGTTGGGAGGATTGTACACTACTCTCATTTAAAGGGGAAAGTTCGGTAATATGGAATTAATATGAATGAGATGCATTAATAAGAAACTGAGCATGCTGAGAGTTGCAATTGTTGGTTTTCTGGTTTGATTGATTTCCTTTTTTCTTAGAAACATCAAAGCCAAGAAAGATCGTTTTACCTTTACTGACCCAGCTGTAAATATGTACCTAGACTGTTTTTAAATGTCTTTCTTCATGAATGCTTCACGGGGCTCCAGGAAGCCTGTATCACCTGTGTAAGTTGGTATTTGGGCACTTTATATTTTTCTAAAAAACGTGTTTTGGATCCTGTACTCTAATAAATCATAAGTTTCTTTTTAAAAATTTTCCAAAACTTTTCTCCATTTTAAAAAGCCCTGTTACAAAAGTCGAACTTTCACTATGTTAAAATGTTAAATATTTGGATATAGCAACTTCTTTTCTCTTCAAATGAATGCCAAGATTTTTTTGTACAATGATTAATAAATGGAACTTATCCAGAGAAACCACGCAAATGGCCTGCCCAATTTCGTTTCAGGACAGAAAGCCCAGCCATGACTTGAGTAGAATGTGTCTCACCTCTCTTCGGATCTAAATATGAAAAGTATGTTCTGCTGAATTTTTCTGAGCATTGGTGAGCGGACAGCCTACCTGTAAACCATGACCTCCTTGCCAAACGTTCATTTTATCAGCTCACTAGTAACCTTTGAGAATTATCTAGTTGTCATGCAAAGATTGCACTTTTTGAATTATGTTAAGTTACACATGTTGTAAAATGAGAACTGCTCATGCTTTGAAAGAAAACCAGGTTCTTCGTGCGTTCTGTTGCCGTTGATTTGAATGGCTGCGCTGTATACGATGTGTCCAAAATGTCTCCAGAGCACTGATTCTGTGTAATGTTATTACCTATTATGTGGGAGGAAAAAAGGTTATAGGTTAAACAAAGTCAGTCGACTGTATGGTGGTGTTTCTCCATACCTGTAACGCACAGGACTGTGCGTCGTCACTTTCTAAGGAGTGTGCAGCGTGTGTGTCGTCTTGATATATTAAACCCTGGAATTTCCCTCCCCTACACGCACGCACCATCCCCGGGGGTCCGGTGTTTGCAGACTTGCTTTGAAAAGCTGTCTCAGCGAGACATCAGTTCTGTCCAAAGTGAGTTTACCTTAGAATCAGACTGGTTTTGCCAGGCGTCACGTTTGCAAACATTATCCACCTAATCAGATTTTGAAAGGACAGTTTTCCTGTTGGCTGCCTGAGACTTATAACAGATCCCCATTAGAAGCGCATTTACACAGCAGAATGATTTTATTGAGAAAACCAGCGTTAAGTACTGTTGCCAGCTCAGTTTTCCATTGCATACTGTCTACTTAAAGTCTCGTTCTCATTTTTAAATGTTTCGGTCTTTCTCCACGGAGAACACTGAGCAGAGCGGCCGCGTTGCAGGCTTTCTGCTGCTGCTGTCAGGTATCTTTGCTTTCCCCTCCTTAGTCCTTACTCCCAAGTAAGTGAACTCAGACTACCAGCAACTTTTTAACTGAAGAGTGTCTGTGACCATGATGATCAAGATGCAGCTCTTCATGTTTTTATTTATTTATTTATTTATTTTTGGAGGGAAGGAGAGACATCAGCTGGACAAAATGCAGAATTTGGATGTGGGACAATTGCTTTTTGGAGACGTGAATAGCTGTACTGTACGTATTATTTTGTGTGGCATGCTCACTTCGAGCCGGGCACTGGCCTAATCAAGTCTTTGTAATCCTCCCAGCAATCCGATGAGGCAGGCGCAGATAGTAAAGTTTTAGGCTTTGCAGGCCGCGTACAGACTGTCGCATGTTCTCTGTTTTTAAAACTGTCAACAACATTCTTAGCTCAAGGGCTGTACAAAAACAGGCTGCAGACGGGATGGTGCCCACAGGCCATAGTTAGCTGACCCGGGCTAGGGTGTAGGCACTTAGCATTCCACTGTATAAAGGGGAAACCCAGGTCATACTGCGTGTGCGTGGGTGGGAAGCTGGATGTGGAATACAGGTGGTCCCTGAGTCACCAGGAACCACTGAGCTCCAGCTGTTCACACCCACACTCTCCGGCGCAAGCAACTACCTCGCCATGGTTTAGCCTTGGTCTAGCCGCAACTTTAACCTTGAATGTTGCATTTCTGAAAATTTAGAATCTTGAAGGTAAAGGACATCCCTTCAGTGAATAAAATTATGTGCAATTATAGAATACATGTGTTATGGTCACGTAGCAATGACTGTATTAGGGCTATGCTAGTTCTGTAATAAATAGACCCAAAAAGCTACAATGGCTCAAACACCATAGAACTTTTTTGCTTCCATAATACTGGGCAGGGGAATGGGCTGGCAGGGCAGCCCCAGTGCAGGCATCAGAGACAAAGCACTCTGAGCCGTCTGTCTCCATCCAGCCTGAAGTTGGGGGCAGCATGGAGGGCCGTGACCATCTGGGAGCTTCCATGAGCCGGGTGTGGAAGTGGCGCCCCTTATGTCCACTTTCATTTTGCACGGAGGCGGGAAACGTCGTCCAGTTGTGTTCTAGGAAAGGAGACAGGACACAGTGTGGGTAGAAGCTCTGGTCCACCACACAGGCCACTCCAGTGTGCTCCTCCATGGCAGGAGACAGCCACGGACAGTTAAGCCAGGCTGTCTGTGGGGACGGACACATTTCTCCAGTCTCCGGCTCAGTCGCCCCTGCCTCAGTAGCACATAGAGGCAGCGGAGTTCCCTTTAGGTGGCACTGCCTGTGTACACTCAGTCTCCACCGCAGATGGCTGCAGAAGCGGGGAGCAGACCTCACCGCGTGGGTCACGTGTGCTAGCTCTGCCTCAACAGCCAGATCTCAAGGGCCCGGCCATGCCTTCTTTCCAGAGGAGGTGCCAAATGGTTTCCTGTGGGCCCGAAAGGAAGAGAAAAGGTTTGGTGGGCACCAACTTGTGTGTGCCTCGCCCCCAGAACCCTCCGCGATCCCTGCATCCTCCTCAGCCCAGTTTTTCTGGGCCGTGCAAGTTCCCTCCATCGGCCCAGCATGGTGCCTCTGGGATTCGCCACCCCCAATGCCCATTCAGAGGTGAAGCAGGGACAGTAGCTGCAGTAAGAACTCCCATTTGGGGAAAAGAAAGAAAGAAACAGAAGTTGCTGGTCTCTAGCAGGGATGAAATCCCACTCGCGGGGGACCTTGTTAAGACCCCTGCCCTTGTCATGGCCGGGGGTGACATTTCCTGCGTAAGCCCTGACTCTGCTCTCCGGAGGACTCCCTGCCCTCTGGGAAGTTCTTCCTCGAATCTCATCCTCTCTGGTCTCCTCAGAAGTGGGTGTCAGGTGCATCCTGCCTGGGGGCTGGCCGACTTTCACACTCCACTTCCTGTTGGGTGCAGCTTTAGGGGCCTGTCCAAGATTTTTATTTACTTATTTGTACAACAAGCTTGCGATTCCTCTAGCAATGATTCCTTCTAACGCTTAGCAGGCTATTAACCTGTTGGTGCCAGTAATCGTAGCCTGTGTTCTTTTTCAGAACTTTCCAGCCTGCTTTATCGCCTCTTGGCTCTCCCTTCCCCCTGACTTAATGTGGCTGCCTTCATCTGATATTAACCAAAGGTGACGCTCGCTGCTTAAGTGAAAAATATTTTTTTGTTTTGTTGCTCAAGAGACAGTTTCACTCTTGTTGCCCAGGCTGGAGTGTAGTGGCGCAGTCTCAGCTCACTGCAACCTCTGTCTCCCGGGTTCAAGCGATTCTCCTGCCTTAGCCACCCAAGGAGCTGGGATTACAGACATATGCCACCACCCTCGGCTAATTTTTTATTTTTAGTGGAGATGGGGTTTCACCATGTCAGTCATCAGGCTGGTCTCAATCGCCTGACCTCAGGTGATCCACCTGCCTTGCCTTCCCAAAGTGCTGATTACAAGCATTTAACAGGCCTTTGTTGTTCAGTGATTTCCTTTGAGATGGAGTCTGGCTCTGTCGCCAGGCTGGAGTGCAGTGGCACGACCTCGGCTCACTGCAACCTCGGACTCCCGGGTTCAAGTGATTCTCCTGCCTCAGCCTCCCGAGATGCTGGGATTACAGGCGTGTGCCACCACACCCAGCTAATTTTTGTATTTTTAGTAGAGACGGGGTTTCACCATATTGGCCAAGAGGGTCTCGATCTCATGACCTTGTGATCCACCCACCACAGCCTCCCAAAGTGCTAGGATTACAGGTGTGAGCCACTGCACCTGGCCTTTTTTTTTTTTTTTTTGAGGCGGAGTCTTGTTCTGTCGCCCAGGCTGGAGTGCAGTGACGTGATCTTGACTCACTGCAACCTCCACCTCCTGGGTTCACGCCATTCTCCTGCCTCAGCCTCCCAAGTAGCTGGGACTACAGGTGCCCGCCACCATGCCCGGCTAATTTTTTGTATTTTTAGTAGAGATGGGGTTTCACCGTGTTAGCCAGGATGGTCTCTATCTCCTGACCTTGTGATCTGCTTGCCTCGGCCTCCCAAAGTGCTAGGATTACAGGTGTGAGCCACTGCACCTGGCCTTTTATTTATTTATTTATTTATTTGAGACGGAGTCTTGCTCTGTCGCCCAGGCTGGAGTGCGGTGACGTGATCTTGGCTCACTGCAACCTCTGCCTTCTGGGTTCAAGCAATTCTTGTGCCTCAGCCTCCCAAGTGACTGGGATTACAGGTGTACACCACCACTCTCAGCTAATTTTTGTATATTTAGTAGAGACGGGGTTTCGTCATGTTGGCCAGGCTAGTCTGGAACTCCTGGCCTCAAGTGATTCACCTGCTTTGGCCTCCCAAAGTGCTGGGATTACAGGGGTGAGCCACTGGCATGGCCGATTTTCGTTCTCATCTCTTGGTGTGCAGAAGCAGTGGCCTTTTCCACATAGGACACCTGGGATTTCAGTCTCTTTTCCATTTTAGTTCTCAAACCAGCACATTTTTGCTTCACTCCTGTTTTTCTTGTCTTCCCTGGTGATAAACAACAGAGCAGTCTACACACTGTATTCCTTGTCTCTTTTGGCTGCTTTTTCTAGACTGGCTGCAGGGCCAGTGGTTCCACCTTGCAAATCAAAAGCAACAATTTTACCAAGTCTGACCCCCAAACAGAGCTCTCTAGCCTTCCGGCCTCCAGGAGGTGTTTCCTTGCCACTTGACTGCTAGGCTAACACCATAGAGTTTAGGGTTTTGATACAGTGGTGCCCCCTCAATGGTTTTGTTTGTTTATTATTATTAAGTTTAAAGTAGGCTAGTATTTCCATAGGAAGTTCTACTTCCTATTTGGCTGTGCAATTAAGAAAAAAAAAAAAACTAAGAACAATGATTCAAGTCTTTGGGAGTGGGAAGAGCTACACGTCGTTTAGTAAATGCAGGGAAGGAAGTTGCACAGAATACAGAAAGGAGAAATTTTGGGAGAATGAACTGGGCAGTCTTATAGAATCCTTGCATGGTTAGAATTTCCAGCTGGGCACAGTGGCTTGTATAATCCCAACACTTTGGGAGGCCAAGGTGGGAGGATCGCTTGAGGCTAGGAGTTTGAGATTAGCCTGAGCAATATAGCAAGACCCCCATCTCTACAAAAAAATTTAAAAATTAGCCAGGTGTGATAGCTTGCGCCTATAGTCCCCACTACCCAGGAGGCCGAGGCAGGAAGGTTGCTTGAGGTCAAGGCTTCAGTGACCTGTGATGGCGCCACTGCACTCCAGCCTAGGTGATGGAGCAAGACTATCTCAAAAGAGAAAAAAGAAAAAGAGAAAAAAAGAATTTCCACCTGCTTTTTTTTTTTTTTTTTTTTTTGGGAGAGAGTCTTACTCTGTCACCCAGGCTGGAATGCAGTGGCACAGTCTTGGCTCACTGCAGCCTCCGCCTCCTGGGTTCTTGTGTCTCAGCCTCCTGAGTAGCTGGAGCTACAGGCGTGTGGCGCCACACCCAACTAATTTTTGTATTTTTAGTAGAGACACGGTTTCACCATGTTACCCAGGCTGGTCTCGAACTCCTGACCCCAAGTGATCTGCCTGCCTCGGCCTCCCAAAGTGCTGGGATTACAGGCATGAGCCACCGCGCCCGGCTCTCCACCTACTTTTTAAATGAAAGAATTCTAGTAGAAATGTTCATATGCAAGTTATTGAATTTGGGAGAAATTCATACTTTGAATGAAAGTTACGGTTTTCCTATTTCCAAACCATTATAATCTCACAATCCTAGAATTCTTCAATAATCTACCAGTTTTTGTAGGACGATTTTCTCAGTTGTGGCTGTTACTGTGCAGAGGGCTCTGTGCCCAATATCTGTGCTGTCCTCCACCCCAAGGTTTCTCAACCTTTTTTCCAGTATTGCCTGCTCCAGGAGGCTTTTTAGGTTGTTTTTTTTTCCTAATCACCCCTGCCACCCGAAATTGTTTTGACTTTTTTTTATAGAAATGACATTCATCTTACATGAAATTAACCATATCACTGGTATTTACTTCATGCACAATGTTGTCAGCCTCCACCTCTAGTTCCTAAACATTTTCATCACCCTAAAATAAAACCCCCAAGCCCATTAGGCAGTCACTCCCCATTCTTCCCTCCCGCAGCCCGTGACACCCACCAGTCTGCTTTCTGTCTCTGGATTTGCCTGTTCTGTGCATTTCACGTATATGGAATCACACACAAGGTGACCTCTGTGCCTGGTTTCTTTCACGCAACATCGTGCTTTCAAGGTTCATCCTCTTTGTAGCATGTATTGGCACTTCATTCCTTTTTATGGCTAAATATTTATGGATATACCACATTGTTTTGTTTTTATTATTTTTATTTATTTATTTATTTTGGAGACAGAGCCTTGCTGTGTCGCCCAGACTGGAGTGCAGTGGTGCAATCTCGGCTCACCACAACCACTGCCTCCTGGGCTCAGGTGATTCTTCTGCCTCAGCCTCCCGAGTAGCAGAGACTACAGTCACGCACCACCACGCCCGGCTAATTTTTTGAATTCTTAGTAGAGATGGGGTTTCACTGTGTTGCCCAGGGTGGTCTAGAACTCCTGAGCTCAGGTGATCTGCCTGCCTTGGCCTCCCAAAGTGCTGGGATTACAGGTGTGAGCCACCACACCCAGTCTATTTTGTTTTTATTTTTTGAAATAAAAATTGTGGCCCAGGCTGGAGGGAAGTGGCACAGTCAGGGCTGACTGCAGCCTCTGCCTCACTGCAATCTCCACCTCCTGGGCTCAGGTGATCTCCCACGTCAGC